ATTATCTTAGTAGTGTTGCGAAAAGTAGTGACTTGATAGTTATCATATGTATGGCCCGATTGTGACTTGTTATTATTTTTAAATGAGTTATTTTATTGTGTCTCCTCAGTTGAAGCCAACACTTCAATGCAACTCAAACCTATTAAACACAGGATTGCTTGTTTTACAAATTTCTATCCTCGTCACGACTACTCCCAGAGGATTTTTAATATTGTACCACTTCCTAGTTCGACTAGTTGAACGTCACACCTATTCCAACTTATTGTAACTACTCTCTCGAGTATACCTGAGGGCTAAACATGAATTCGATTTGTGAACAAACTCCCCGTTGAGAAATTATAAAAGTTGTATCCGAAATGAAAGGAAATACCACACGGGAAAAGTCACTACAGACCAATTGTACTGGTTCAATCAAAATTTTGATAACCCCGGAACAGTTGTCGATTCGATCGGTACAATAAAACAATATCCAGTGGAGTGAATTAATTCACTTGTGTTCCGGAGGAAACGGAAAATCTTGAGAATACAAATTTACTCTTCTCGAAACGGGATGAACCATGCGGTAAAGCTTCGACAGCAAGCAATCACAAAAACCCCGTTTGCCTTATTCCCACTGAGATAAAAGCAAACCACCACGAGGACCGATTTAGGACCCACTTGTTCTTACACCGCTTCCACATGGACTGCGAAATTGATTACACTCTCATATCGGACAACCCAATTGGCATCTTCGCCCCAATAATTCTGCGCATACTTTTGCACGGCAAAATACATTTGTGGAAACAATTGTAGCCAGTCAGAATTGTGAAACAAGTGAATGAGGAGCCCGAATCGGATTCTCCGCTCAAACATTCGATCTCAATGGCATTTCGGGATTCAGGAGGTTGGGGGAGAAATTTCTTCTAGTCATTTATCATCTGAATCAGATAGGGCATCAAAAAGAATTCGTAACCGAAAAAATTACGAGTTGTTCGGCATCGGAAAATTCAATAAGTGGATGCATTCTGATGACGTGTATGTGCGTGTGTGTATTTGTGTGTAGATCAGCTGTACGAACGGGTTAGATGGTGATTCCCAAACACAGTATTAGGCAATAGACAACACCATACGTTGAATGCAGCATTAGTTAGGAAAACTGGAATTCACTTAGTTCTACTTTATCCGCTCCGGAAGTGAAAGCTGCTCGATAATTTCATGAAGTGCCAAACGATGACGAGACTATATGGGGAGATATTTATACAAACTTCAAACAGTAAAATCAGCTTGTGTAACGAAGATTGATCAAACACACTATTATGCCCATTGCTGCCAGTATGGCCTTATTTCCTGCTAGTCAAAGTTATCTTCCCACCCGTGTGAGTACAAAACACCAGATCATCACTGAGATCTGAATTCCAATCCGAACTTAAGGAGCAGCTAGAAGACTGTGTTTTGCTGTGTTCCGGATTCACCGGCATTTTGCAGACACCACAAACACCCCGATATCCAATGTTTCTAAACATAGAATGGTGTTCCAGAAATGGGCAGATGAGAAATCTGTAAACTGCGATCAATTGTTATCACATACACATACGATTAGCGCAGTTGAGACAGAATACGGACGGAAATTAAATTGACTGAATAACAAGGTCACATGTAAATAGTTTAATGCACCACTAGCGCCGCGTATGTTCATTTTATGAAACAGGTAAGCGGGTTGGAATGATTCCTAACTGAGTCATAAACCTAGAGTATTGCGTTGAGATGCACAAGGTGTAGTGCGTTTAATCCTCGCGAAGACGGACTGTGCTATATTGTACATAAGGAAAATGAAAAATGGTCTGCTCACCTTCCCGGCATTCGAGAGGGTAGTATGCTTGAGTTCTATCTGAGAGGTCCCAGAATCGATCCCCGGATAGGCCGATGAATTTGAAACAGTTGTGCAGTGCTTTCCAGCTTTTCAGTTCACGTTTCATTTGCTCTCCGCATAATGAAATTCACCATATGCTTACCCAAGGACTGAACCACAAGCCCAAGATCAACAACAGTTTTTGGTACTTGCGGAATCCGAATGGACATCATCGGAACAGATACCCGGGCATATCTCATGCCCAATAGAACTTCAGAATGCAAATAAGATCCAGACTGCGTTTGAGCCATTTCGAGATTGCTATTCCTAGAAGTGAAAAATGGTGTCGTGTTTTCACATAAGCATAATATGAAGTTGGCACATTCTCTTCAAAAGCGTGATAGTCAGGCGTGTTGATTATCCAACAAATGGTAGATAATCCTAATTGAAATCTTCCTTTAATTCTGCTGATAATTTGATCAGACATTAATCTTGATTCGTTTCATCTACACACACAATGGGGTTGAATCATTCAGCCGGCAGTGGTGTCACCTTTACTATCGGGAATCATAAGATGAAGGCCAAAAGGACATGAAAGGGTATGTTGAGCACAATCCGTTGGTCAGGATGACAGGACATGTGTGGATTCTCTCTCCTTCTCTCTGTGCAAAC